TCCCTCACTAAGGGATAGCTTCTCCTGCATCCAGTGTGTGAGATGAAGCTTCAACATCTTTGCCTCCAAGGAGCACTCTGGCTGCACCTTCTCCAAGACATATCACTTTCTTCTTTTGGCAGTCCATGGGATTTTCAGCAGTCTTCTCCAACACCACAGTTCAAAGGTGTCAATTCCTTTTATGTCATCCTTAGTCATTGTCCATTGCTCAGACACTGAACAACTGAATAAAAGACCATGGACTTAATCAAGTGCTCCTTAGTCCTCAAACTGACATCATCACTCTTAATAATTAGAAGAAGTCCCTGACTACAGACTTTCCCAGTCTCAAAGGTCTCCTGATCTCCTGACTGCTGTAACCAACTGTATTGATTGTGGATCCAAGTAAGATGAAGTTATTGACAGTCTCAATGTTTTCTCTATTTATCAATTTATCATGATGTTGCCTATCAATTCAGTGGGGAGGATTTTTATTTTCTTTACATTGAAACCAAATCCATATCGAAGGCTGCAGTGCTTTACCTTCTGTAGCAAGTGCTTCAAGTCCTCATTTTCAGCAAGTAAGGTTGTGTTATCCTTATAATGAAGGTTATTGATGAGTCTTCCTCCAATCCTGATGCCACATACATTAAATATAGTAGTACTCAAATATGTTAATGTGTTTTATTATGTCTTGAGGGAGCTCTGGTGGCTTAGTAGTAAGGAATTGTGCTGTCTACCCAAAAGCACAGTTCAAACCAACCATGGGCTCTTTGAGAGAAGGATGGACAGTCTCCTCCTGTGGGATTAACTGCCTCTGAAAATGTACATAAGGGTCAGCTATGTGTCAGTTCTGAGTTGATGGTAAGCAATAATATTGTGTCTTGAGAACAATGCTTAAAGATAATAAAATTGTTATATTTTTTACAGAAAGTAGCTAGGTAACATAGCCTGTGATGAAGTACACTGCTTACTCAAAAGTGGAGACTTTTGGGTAGATTGAATCCACCCATGGCTTTGAGAGAAAAGCATGGGCAATCTCCTTCAGTATGATTTACAGCCTTAGAAAAACTTGCTGGAGGATCAGTTATAAGTCCGTTCCAACTTAGTGAAGTTGAGTTACTGTAAAGTATTTTGAAAATATAATCAATTTTTTTACAAAAACCCACAAACCTTATTGCTGTGAAATGAGTTCCAACCATGGACGACTTCATGTGTTAAGAGTAGAGTAGAATAGAGATGTGTGTTACTGTGCAATTAAATACCTGACTTGAGAATTTCTTAATGTGTCCCAGACTGGCCTCTTTCCTGCAACACTAGACCGTGGCACTGCTGATTGGTGGGGTCCTGGCCCCTCCTGCTGGAGGCACCCAGCCCTGCTGCCTAGGTCCCTGAACACACCTGAAGGACCATATCTGTTTGCAGGGACACTCCTGCACACTGTTTGGAAGCCCACACAGGCCTTTTCTTAAAAGTCCTGGTCCTGTTGTCTGGAAGTTCTACCCCTGCCACCCAAAAGCCGTGTCTCAGCACAGAGATGAGCTGCCCCAATGCCCAGAAGTCCCGCCTGTCATCCAGACAGCCTGCCCCCAGTGCTGGAAGTCCAGCCTGCACCACTGGGAGGTCCTGGAACCACCACCTGAAGGACCCATTGCCACAGTATGGGCACCCCAATCCCAATGCCTAGAGGATGACCTGCTGCCACCCACCAGAACTGTACCAGAGACATCAGTATCTCAGGTGAGCCCACTTCATTTCTTCTCCCCTCCCAAAGCTTGAGTTGCGTTTTGCCTGGAGCACCTTGGACTGGCCTAGCTACAGCAGTTGTCTGACAGAGGAGGCTGTTAATTCACAGTCCTTTTCTTTCCTGAACTTAAGCAAGTCTTCCCTTGAATCAAAAGTTCAGAGAAAAACCCAGGCAGGGTACTGGCCCCACGTCCTTTGGAGCAGTGATGTCAGATCAAGATTCTGCTATCGCCTCAAGTATGAAAAATTCTACCACAGCAATGTCACATAGGAAGCAGGCTGCCTCACATACTACACAAACCCAAAACAAGAAGTCACTCTGCCAAAAAGTGATACAGTATCAATGGATTTCCTGAAGCCAGAAAGTCTGATGGAACTTTCTGACACAGAATTTAAAAGAACCATGATTAACTCTTTTCAATGGGTCAAACACAAACTTTGACAAATTTCTTCTGTCAAAGAAAGAATTACAGGACACTGCAAGCAAAACCCAAAAGGAACTTAGAACAATAATCCAAAACAATGTAGATAAAACATTAGAGGCTCTGGGAAAACAAGAAACAACAATCCAAAATATGAAGGTCAATGTTTCAGATGCTGTAAACATGTTAGAGGGACATATGAACAGAGATGAAGAGATGGAACACAGAGCCAGTGAAATAGAAGATAGAATAGTCACCACTGATCTTTACAACAAAAAGCAGAATCAAAAAAAGAAAAAGAAGAAAACCTAAGAATAATGTGGGACACCATCAAGAGGAATAACATGTTTGTAATTGGAATCCCCAAACAGAAAGAAGAAAGTAAAGGCATGAAAAAAGTTGTGGAAGAATTACTAGAAGAAACTTTTCAGGCATAATTAAGAATGAGAGAATATATTCAAGAAGCTGAGTAAATGCTATGTAGAATATACAGCAAAAGAAAAACACCAAGGCATATCATAGTCAAATTTTCCAGAACCAAAAATAAGAAGAGAATTCTAAAAACAGCTAGGGAGAAACAAAGAGAAACCTATAAGGAAGAGCAAATAAGATTAAGTGCTGATTTCTTAGCAGAAACCATGTGAACAAGAGGCCAGTGGAATGATATCTAGCAAATACCTAAGAACACAACTGTCCATCAAGAATACTATACCCAACAAAACTGTCCACCACATACGAAGGCAAGATCGAGATATTCTCAAAACACAGAACCTAAGGGAGTTTGTAAAAACAAAACCAGCATTGCAAGAAATACTGAGAGACATCCTACTTACATAAGTGCCACAGAAAGCAAGATGGACCAAAGTAACTAGCAACAACAGCAAAAAGAACTCAACAAAATGATAGTAATAAAACCTTGTTTCTCAATAATCACACTGAATGTGAATAGTTTAAATGCACTACTGAAGAGAAGAAGAGTAGCAGATTGGATAAAAAAACCAAAATCCATCAATATGCTGTCTACAAGAGACACACCTAAAAAATGAAGATAAGAAAGACTAAAAATAAAAGGGTAGGAAAAAATATACCAAGCAAATGGCAATGAGAAAAAAGGAGTAGTGATCTTAATCTCTGATAAAATAGATTTCAATGTAAAAATCATCACAAAAAACAAGGAAGGTCACTACATAATGCTTAAAGGGTCAATAGTGCAAGAGGACATAAAGGTATGCCACATAAGAAAAGCAATCAATGTAATTTATCACCTTAGCAAAGCAAAGAACAAGAACCACATGAGTCTATCAATTAATGCAGAAAAGACCTTTGACAAAATCCAACACTCTTTCCTGATTAAAACATTCAACAAAATAGGATTAGAAAGGAATTTCTTCATCATAGTAAAAAGTATATATGCAAACCTGAGAGCCAAGATTGTTCTTAATGGAGAGAGATTAAAGGCATTCCCTTTGAGAACAGGAACTAGGCAAGCATGCCCACTGTCACCTCTCCTATTCAATATTGTATTGGAAGTCTTAGCGATAGCAGTAAGACAAGAGAAGTAAATAAGAGCTGTTCAAACGGGAGGTAAAATTATCACTCTATGGAGATGATATGATAGTATACTTAGAAAACTCTACAGACTCAGCAAAAAGAGTACTGAACATAGTTGACCAACCAATTCAGCAAAGTGGCAGAATAAAAGAATAACATGCAAAAATCTATTGGATTTCTCTACAGTGACAAAAAGAATACAGAACTGGAGCTAAGAAAAACAATACCCATAATAATACCTCATCACAAGATTAAATACTTGGGAGTAAATCTAACTAGAAACACAAAGGACTTATTCAAAGAAAATTACAAAGCATTACTACAAGAAACAAGAAGAGACCTGGAGAAATAGAAGAATAGCCCTTGATTTTGGATAGGAAGACTCAATATTGTGAAAATAATAGTTCCACAGAAGGCAATCTACATGTTCAATGCAATCCCAATACAAATACCAATTCCATTCTTCAACAAGATGGAAAACACAATTTCCAATTTCATCTAGAATGGAAAGGGACCCTGGATAAGCAAAGCACTCCTAAGAAGAGAAACAAGGTAGAAGGAATCTCACTCCCTGATTTCAAATCCTACTACACTGCTGTGATGGTCAAGACAGCATGGTACTTGTACAATGACAGACACAAAGATCAATGGAATAGAATTGAGAACCCAGAAATCAGCCCATCTATCTCTGGTCAACTGATCTTTGACAAGGAGGTGAAATCAGTTAACTGGGGAAAAGATAGCCCTTCTTACAAATGGTGTTGGCAAAATTAGAAAAAGTATCTGCAGGAAACTCAAGCAAGACTCATACCTCACACCATACACAAAACTTAACTCGAAGTGGATCAAGGACCTAGAGTAAAACCAAGGAGTATGAACTTCATCAGAGAAAAGCTTGGAAGAATTCTAGAAGCTCTAATTCACAACATAAACAGTTTTTGACACATCCTGAAAAATGTACAATCAGGAGAAGAGGAAATAGATGAATGGGACTGTCTAAGAATCAAATCCCTATGAACATCCAAAAACTTCTCCAATAGGGTAAAAAGGAAAACCACAGACAGGACAAAAAATATTTGGTAATGACATGTCTAATAAGTGACATATCTAGAATTTATAGAATACTTGAGCACTACAACAAGATAAAGGTAAACATACCAATCGCAAAATGGGCAGAGGATATGAACAGACACTTCACTGAAGAAGACATTCAGATGGTGAACAAACACATCTAGAAATATTAAAAATCCCTAGCTCTGAGAAGGGATCTGGCGGTGGCCCAGGGCGGCCGCGGCCCATCATCTTCTTTCCCCGCACAGCCAGGCGGCCCCCGCTCGAGACCCGCGTCGCCATGGCCGCGGTTCCCGAGTTGATGCAGCAGGATGAGGAGGACCACAGCAAGCTAAGATCTGTGTCTGTGGACCTGAATGTCGATCCTTCACTTCAGATTGACATACCTGATGCACTCAGTCAGAGAGATAAGGTCAAGTTTACAGTACACACAAAGACCACTCTATCTAAATTTCAAAACCCAGAGTTTTCTGTTACCAGGCAACATGAAGACTTTGTGTGGCTACATGACACTCTTATTGAAACAACAGATTATGCTGGACTTATTATCCCACCTGCTCCTACAAAACCTGACTTTGATGGTCCTCGAGAGAAGATGCAGAAATTGGGAGAGGGTAAAGGATCAATGACCAAAGAAGAATTCGCCAAAATGAAACAAGAACTAGAAGCTGAATATCTTGCTGCCTTTAAGAAGACTGTATCCTCCCATGAAGTCTTTCTTCAGCGACTTTCTTCTCACCCTGTTCTCAGTAAAGATCGAAACTTTCATGTTTTCCTGGAATATGATCAGGATCTAAGTGTTAAGCGGAAAAATACCAAAGAAGTGTTTGGTGGTTTTTTCAAGAATGTGGTGAAAAGTGCTGATGAAGTCCTTTTTTCTGGAGTTAAGGAGGTGGATAATTTTTTTGAGCAAGAGAAGAATTTTCTCATTAACTACTATAATAAGATCAAAGATTCATG